GGAACTGACACCTTCCTCACACCTTCCTCACCTCATGTGTGGTTTCTTATATGTGTGACGAATTTAAAAACCTCCACATCTCAGCAGTTAAATTTACAGCACACCCCTCTTCTTTTTTCTTTTTTAAAGTGTATTTTAGGTCCCTGGTGATAAAACTCAGTATACCTTGTTCTGAGGGGAGCAGTTGAGGAACCCCTTCTTCGCTGTGGTTTTTTTTAGATTAGTTACTTTCCCTGGAAGAGGCCAAGGCCTTCGACCCTGCTGGCGGAGACCTAACCAAACCTGGGGAACCTGGAGAGGTCCTGCTCAGGTGAGGCACAGTGGAAGGTCAGGGTGGGGTAAGGCCGAAGTCCGAGAACAGAATGACGAAGTTGGAGTGAGACAGAGATGGGCTTCAGCCCCCAGCCCCTCAGGCCCTGAAGCTATTCCCTAAGCCCCACGCCTAGCCCCACTCTTACAACCCTCTCCCACTCCCTCTTTTTTCCCACACATAGTTTCTTATCAATCTTTAAGCTGTAAAATAGAACCACGTTTCTTGGAACATTACGTGGGAAAGACTAAAAGAAACTTGTAAGCCCACCCAAATAGAACATTCATTTTCCTTGGGCTTTGGATGTAAATAACATTGTCATTTTTTCAAACACACTGCATACTTAATGCTCAGAGTCAAACTAATCTCTGCAGAAGGATGAATTAGGATCATTATTAGGATTCTCGAGTTTAATATTTTTCAACCCAGAGAGTATTTTCCACCGACCTTAACTGCTGGCTTCAGTCTCCTCTCTTAGCTCACTGTCTGCCTGCTGCACTGATCACGCTCGGGCAGCCGTGTCCCACATAAGGACATGCTCCACTGCCGAGCAGGACGGGGTCTGTGAGCAGCGCGGGGGGCCCATGGGGGCCCAGTTACCTACTGACGTTCACTGGCAGGCCTGCTGATTTCCACAGAGTTTACACATGTCGAGTTCATCTTAAACGTTTCAGAAAATGGTGATTTCTCTCTTGATTGCTCCCAGAGAATGGTTAGGAAAGGTAAAGAATCCCACCAGTGAATTACCAGGATGAGTGGAAATTGTACTCCCATTGTAATTGTCATGCCAGGCAGAGCCACGCTGGAGATGACACAGGAGCCCCCCTCGCTGCACTGACCTGAGGAACCACAGGCGCAGTGGGACGGGTGGCCTCATCCACCTCCACCCTGAGTGTTCCCATCAGTTGAGCTAACGCATCACACCCACCCAATAGCCCTGATAAAAGGCAAGATCGAGCGAGCTCACAAGGGTTTCCACCAGCACCAGGCCGGTGACCTCAGAGAAAATCTTCCTTAATTCCCAAAGCGTAATTTGAATTTTTGTGAGCTGTAAGAAGGATGAGGTCAGTTATTTTGGACAAATGCTATTTTAAATTCATAGAACAGAGGTCTCAAGGGTTTCTCTGCTTTTCCACCTACCTTCATTCCAAAATGACTCTGTTTGTTTTTATAGACCACAGATTAGTTTATTTTTAACACCCACCGTGCCAAGAATTCATAGAGAATAGGTTCTAGAAACTCAGGCTCCTTTCCATTGGTTCTCACACAGTGGCTTCTCTGGGTGGGGCAGGCTGGCACTCAGTTGACCCCAGGTACCTTTCTCTTTGGCTTCCTTCTTTTTCTGGTCATTTTCCTTCACGTTTTAGGAAGCTATCTCTGCTCTTAGAATGTTTAATATGCTCAATACACATTAATTCTCTGGACAAGAATCTTGTCTTAACTTGTTACCTTCTCACTTTTCTGCTCACAATGCCAACAGCATTCTGGGTAACACTGTAGACTCTTCCTGTTTTGCCATGGTAACAGTTGTGGGGCATTTCTTTTTGAACAGTACCCATTCCCTTGATGTCTACAATATCCCCCTTCGTGTAGATTCGCATATATGTTGCCAATGGAACCACTCCATGTTTTCTAAAAGGCCTAGGGAACATACATCGGGTGCCTCTCCCCTTTCCCTTTGTGTTTGTCATTTCGGTGAATTACTGGAAAATGGTGAAAAGGGCCAGAATGACTCTTGCCCTTTCATAGTCTGTGACCTTCTAGAGAAAGTATAACGGTGAGCCCACGTGGTAAAAGTGAATCCAAACTGAAAACCCGTCCCCGTTCGGTGTAGGAGGGAAGGAAGGAAAGGCGAGTGTTGCTGAGAGCTGTATAATAAACGGACATGTGGAATTTTGCTCAGATGCAAAAGAATGGGAAGGTTCCCCGTTCAAGTCCGGAGACCTGAGTATACTGGGCATGGTGTGCCATGATCCGGGGCTCTCTGAGGCAGGGGGGTTTATGATATTGGGATCCTGTTAGGGGTAGGGTTTTTTTCCCCTCTTTTTTTCTTGCTCACTCATTTATGGAAGAAATAAGTAAATCAAATTTAAAAAAATCTGAAAACTTTAGGTACCCCTTCATATTTTGCTCAACCCACAAATGTCATTTGCTCCTAAATATTTGTTACTCTCTCTCTCTCTTTTTTTTTCTTTTTTCTTTCTTTTTTTTTTTTTTTTTTTTTTTTTTTTTTTTTTTTTTTTTTGAGAGGTTTTTGCTGTAGGGCATGCGCACTCGCCAGACAGACAGAGACAGAGAGACAGAAAGCGAGAAATCACCCCCCAGGGGGGATGGCCACGCCGCAGTCCCTTCTCCTCCATTCTCCTCTCGAGATCTTGGGCATGCACGCACACGCACCTGGTGTGAGTTTTAAGCCACTGGGTCTGGGATGCGAACCGCGGTCAACTACGTGGGAGTTCAGCGACATAGCCATTATGCTGACTGCTGGTCCCATCTCTCTTTTTTTAAATTAAATTCTGTCCAGCTTTATTAAAGATGCTTTTTAAAAGAATTATTTTTATTTAGCTTTATTTATTTGTTTGTTTGTTTTAATTTTAACCAGAGAGGGACAGAGTGAGAGGGGTTGAGGGGAGTGAGAAAGCAAGCTGTCAAGTTCAAGACTTGAACTGTGATTGGCCATGTGGGAGTTCAGTGCCCTTAACCACCATACCACCTGCTGGTCCCTATTAAAGATAATTATTTATTTAATTTTACTAATTAGTTATTATTATTTAAATTTTTCTATAGGGCATGTGTGTTCACCAGAGAGAGACAGAGAGAGGAGAAAAGTGAGAAGGCAAGCCACTAGGTCTGGGACTCGAACCGCATTCAGCTGTGTGGGAGTCCAGCACCTTAACCACCACGCCACCTGCTGGCCCAAAAGATATTTTTTATAAGCAGTCATGGTATTTCAGGCAGGACATGAGAGACAATTGTTAACAGTATATAACTTTCAAAGTCCCTTTTTCAATGGAATATCAAAATCAGAAAGCCACTATAAAGCCCCATGAAGTCTTCACCCGATGCCCTAATCTGGGAGAGTTTACAGTGAGGGTCGACATTTCATATTTAGCATGTCGTTTAATTTTCTTAAAACAATGCTGACCTTCAGGAAATAAAATGAAAATGGTAAAATTATCAATCTGAAGACCCCCATTCCATTAAAGGAGCCACTGTTCTTTTGAGGGACTCCTGCCCTATGGCATTGCTGGGAAATCCAGATTGCCTGACAAACTGATGACCAGTTTTTTTGGATCAATTACCAACAAGTCTCTGGATTTAAGGGAGTTAAATCTATACTGAAGGTGGAGAGGGAGAAGACAGAAAAGTGAATTTAAGTTTTTTATGCTGTAAGTATTTGTGCCAAAGTCGTTTCATGTGTCACCGTCAGGGAATCCCTCCTCCTGGGAGCCAAGAGGAAGTTTTCCAAACTAGAAGAGAAAGATTTTCTTTCCCACATCAATCTGCTTTCAGAGACATACTATTAGTAAATTATACCCCTTCTTCCCCCAAAACAACAATCAAGTGTCCAATGTGCTAGCAACATAGCTTAAAAAGAAAATTCTGCATTTTTTTTTGAGAGGTTTTTGCTATAGGGTGCGTGCGCTCACCAGAAAGACAGAGAGAGACAGAGAGACAGAAAGCGACCACATGGGAGTCCAGCGACATAGCCGTTACACTAACTGCTGATCCTGAAAATTCTGCATTTTAATAAAACTTCATAAAAAATAGTATTTCAAATCATACCATCACCAGAAGTGCACAGTTATCAAAAACACACACACGTCACTTGGCAACTCCAGGACCTCAGCCTTCGGTGCCTGGTCTGTGTTGGCATCTCCATTTTCTGCAGGGTTATCCCCATCCTTGCCAGTGTCAGCTTTTCCCTTTGGGTACCTTCTCTTCCCTTCTTTGCAGGGGCCTTTTTAGGCTCGCTGTTGGCTTTGGAGGTCCCCTGTGGATCTCTCTGTGGCTTGTCCCTCCCTGTGGTTTTACCACTTTTGGTGTCCCCTCCAGCCTTTCTCTTCTCACAGGAGTGCTGGACACCAAGATGTAGTGATGTGCAGGCTTCGGTTGGTTCGGGGATCACTCTCACCGCTTCTTCACTTTGCCCACTCTTTCTTTTTCTTATTTAAAGAGGATGGAAGTGGGGCCCAGGGATCAGTAGGGGCAAAGAGCATGAAAGCTTCCAAGGGAGCTTGAGATCTCAAGGAATCCTGAGACGAAACCAGACTCCCAGGCGATGCAGACTAGGACTCACGTCGACAGAACCATACCTGGCTCCTGGCTCCTCCCATGATTTTGCTAGGATCCTCTCCTCCGTTATGGACACCCTCCCTCTTTTCCTAAATGCACTAAGTCCTTCCAGTTTGGACACGAGGAGTTTGAATTTGAGAATGTATTCTTTGCCGTGAGAAAACAGCAACAGGAAAGTGTTATTGTTCCTTGTGGACATTGAAGATGATCTTGGTTGAGATCTCTGTGGGCCTCAGAACCAGGGTTAAATTGTTAACGTCACCGAGTTCATATAAGCCAGGACAAACCTATGTAGCCCGGAGAGGGACAGCCAATCCTGACATGGCTAGGCGGACGGGTCTCAGAGTTAGCTGTCACCAGCGGGCTGACTCTGGGGCTCTCTTCTGCTCTGCAGGTGCTGAGTAACCTGGTGATGGAGGAGCTCCTGCCCACCCTGCAGACTGACCTGCTGCCCAAGATGAAGGGGAAGAAGAACGACAGGAAGAGGGCCTGGCTCAGTGTAAGCTGGGCTGTGCTCTGCCGCTGTGCCCTGGGATGAACATTCGCGTCCCTTTTCTTGTCAGGGCACTCGCTGTTCTTGTTTAGTAATGCCTTCCCTGACTTCGAGCCTGCTCAGTCTCACTCACGTGAGAACTAATCCAAACAGACTTGAAGTTGGAAGGCACAGTCGGGATGTGTACAGTTCTGTCTGTCTGATGGTCTGTGGTAAATGGTCCTCCCTCTGCGTGCCCCCGTCAGGCGCTCCCGCAGGCACAGCCCGATGTATGTGTCCTTCCCCATTGCAGCTTCTGGAGGAGGCCTACAACCTGGTTCAGCATCAAGTTTCAGAAGGATTAAGTACCTTGAAGGAGGAGTGCAGAACGCTGACAAAGGGCCTGGAAGGGACCATCCGGTCAGACATGGATCAGATTGTGAACTCAAAGAACTTTTTAATTGGAAAGATCAAAGGTCAGTAGAGATCATCCACACCCCTTCTAACGAACTAAGCCATCCATGTAGGAAGCCACCACACAGAGCCTTATCCACTGCGCGTGCATACCTGTGATAAAGTTTAATTTACAAATTAAGCACAGTGAGAGATAATTATAACTAATTATGAAATAGAGCAGTTGTAACAGTATGCTGTAATGAAGGTTGCGTGAATGTGCTTTCTCTCGCAATGTATCATTGTACTGCACTCACCTACTTTCGGATCACAGCTGGGCTGGGAATAGCTAAGCGAAACTATGGCAAGTAAAACGGGTCAAGAGGGGACTACTATACATGGCTTCAGAGGGCTGTTGCACTGGGAGAACTGGGAGGTGATGACAGCTGCCATAAGAGCATGCCAGAGCTTCCCTTATGAGGAGGAGGGTACTTGGCTTCTTGCCTCATGGTGTGCCTGAGTATTCTAACTGAATTAAAACAGCTTCGGGGAGGCCAGCAGGTGGCGTAGCAGTTACATCACAGGACTCCTACATGACTGACTGCGGTTCAAGTTCTGGACTCGAACTCATGCCAGCCACTTGTGCTTGTATGCCCAAGATCCTGAGAGAAGAATGGAGGGGAAGGGATTGTGGCATGGCCATTCCCTTTGGGGGATGATTTCTAACTTTCCCTCTCTCTGTCTCTGTCTCTCTCGCTCTTTCTCTGGTGAGTGTGTGTGCCCTAAGGCAAAAACCTCTAAAAAAAAAATAGACCCTAATAAAATGACTTCTATCTCACCTCCTCTCTGCTGTTAGCTTTTAAAGAGCAGAACCACGTTGCCCCAGTTTTCCCAAGTATACCCTGAGCCAAGTACCGTGCCTGGGATATATAGACTCTCAATGAATATTTCAATCTAGGAACAAATGAATTTTCCCTTTGACAGGAAAGCCTACTGCTTGGGCTTACAGCCACTAACTCTGGCTTTCTAGCTCCAGCCATGACCTTAACTAGACATGAGTACTTGGGAAGGTAACTCAAGTTCTATTTGCCTCAGTGTCTTCCACTCAGATCAGAGAGGCTTGCAAGAGGAGAGCTGGCCAACTGCAGCCCTTGGGCCAAATCTGGTCCCTGACTTGTGTTTTTCAATGAAGTTTTATCAGAACACAGCAGGCTCATGCATTGGCTGTTGTCTGTGGATGCTTTTGTGCCACCACACAGAATGGAGTAGCTGGAACTGAGGCCTTTTGGACTGTGAAGCTACGCACATTTACCATCTGGCCTTGAAGGGAAATTGCCTTTTCCTACACAAGAGGTTTCTAAGGAATCCCATTCATTCACACACTCATTAATTTAGTCATTTAAAAATATTTACTAAGTCTCTTTTCTTCAGAAAGAGAGATTTTTGCTATCGGGTGCATGCACTTGCTAAAGAAACAGAGAGAGGGAAAGTGAGAAATCGCTCCACAGGGGGGATGGCCACACCACAATCTCTTTTCTCCATCTTCTCTTAGGATTTTGGGTGGGTACACATGCACACACGCCCAGCGTGTTTCAAGGCACTGGGTCTGGGACTCGAATCACAGTTGGTCATGGCCCCACTAAGTGCTTTCTGATTAAGATGATGGTGCTCTTGCAGTGGACAAGAGAGATTCACTCCCTGTACTGTAACAGTGCATTGTCTTCTTGGTGAATTTTCCTTTGCAATTTAAGCCCTTTTCATCCTGCAGCCCAGGCTGCTCTTGGAGTAGGTCCTGCTAAGAAGAGAATTAAGGAGGCATAACTACAGCAAGGCGGTGTGTGTCTGTGTCACTTTGGGTATCTGTTCATGCAGTGCCTTCCAAAGTCAGATATAAATCAACTTCGGAGTGTTTTCTGTTTGCTATTATCATTCCCTATCCCTCCATTAGCAAGATCTAAAGCTGACTATATACTGAAATACTCTATACAGCGTTTTAAGTCGCTAACCGAGTCCTGTGCCAAAATTTCTGTTCTCTGAAACGAAGCTGGGCCTAACCATAGCCGTCCTCATGGCCTCAATTGAACCTTTCTTTCTTGCCTAAATGTCTGTGGCTCCAGTGTACCCACATACAATGGAAAAAGATTCCACCCTAGACTAGTATTTGCTTCCTAAAAGAAGTCTTGAAAGGAAGTAATAATCCAGTCTTTTTAAAATGAAACATCAGAAACACATGTCAGCCAGGCCTTTGGCTCGCCATCTTTAGCAAGCTAGTGTTCTCTTTTTTTTTTTTTTTTTTTTGAGAGATTTTCACTGTAGGGCACGTGTGCTCGCCAGACAGAGAGAGACCTAGAGACAGAAAGCGAGAAATCACCCCCCAGGGGGGATGGTCACGCCGCAATCCCTTCTCCTCCATTCTCCTCTCGGGATCTTGGGCACGCACCCACACGCGCCCGGCGTGAGTTTTAAGCCACCGGGTCCGGGATACGAATCGTGGTCGACTACGTGGGAGTCCAGCGACATAGCCATTACGCTAACTGCTGGTTCCCAGCAAGCTAGTGTTCTTCATGCCGCGTTGACACAGGGCTTTGCATTTTGGGGGAAAATAAACAAACAGACTTGGGGAGTATCAAGTAGTGATCTCTCCATTTCTTCCACACGACTCTTGGGAGGAACGTCACCAAGCTTTCATTCTGCTGCGCAGGCACTGTTGAATTGATCTGTTCAATAGCAGGCATTTATTCTGCCTCTGTGCAGTATCAGCACAAGGGCTGTGAGGGTCCAAGGAGGCAAGCTGAAGAAGCTGTGGTCACAGACACTGAGCCAGCAGGAAAGAGATGACCGACGCTGTTGGAGAGGCAGGAACAGAGCGCAACGGTTCCCAATCAGGACCAGGGTCCTATTTCCATTTCAGAAAACCCTGTGGGCCCCTCTTGGCACCAGAGATGGCATAATGGTTTTGTCACTGGGCTCCCACGTAGTCGATTATGGTTCAAGTCCCGGATCCGGTGGCTTAAAACTCACACTGGGCACGTGTACCTGGGTTCCCAAAATCCCGAGAGGAGAATGGAGGAGAAGGGACTGTGGTGTGGTCATCCTCCCCTGAGGGGGGGCGGTTCTTGCTTTCTGTCTCTCTGGCAAACATATACACTTTATAGCAAAAATCTCTTTCTCTCTAAAAAAAAGAAAGAAAGAAAAATAAAGGAAGAAAGAAAGTAAAGCCCGTGGGCCCCTCTTAACAAGAGTTCTTTCTCAGTGCTGGTGCTGGAAACGTGGTAACGCCGACAGTACAAGAAGCACCAACAGCTCTCCGGGCCTTCTGGAGGGCCAGACCCTTCTAAGCACCCTGAGTGTGGTCGAGTCATTTATCTGCCATAACCCCAAGAAGCAATTACTTAGGACCTCTATTTTACAGAGAAGACAACTGAGGAACAGACCTGCCTGAGGTTCTAAAGCTAGTGTGTGGCAAAGCCAGGGTCCACACTCAGCCCTCCACCTCCAGCACCTTCAGGCTTCATCATCAGCTCACTTCTTGTTTTTTTTTTCTTCTTTTGTTTTAAGATTTTTTTCTACAGGGCATGTGTACTCACCAGAGAGAGAGAGAGAGGGAAAGGGATAAATCACCCTCAAGGGGGGTTGGTCACACCTCAATCCCATCTCCTTCACTCTCCTCTCAGGACTTGGAGCACACATGCATACATACCCAGCATGTTTTTCAAACACTGGATCTGGGACCCCAAACACACAGTTGACCATGTAGGATCCAGAGTCTTAACGACCACACCACCTGCTGACCCAGGTCACTGCCTCTTGACAGCTGCCTGAACTCCAGTAAGGGTTAGGAGCGGATGGGTCGCAGCACCTCCTCTGCATGCTAGGAGACGGCGGAGTGTGCACATTCGGGATGTGGGGGTAATTCAGCCCTAAGGACACACCTGCAGACACAGGTCCCGGAGTTCCGTGCTGGCTCCAGGGCGTTAGGCCATCTACGTGGGTGGTGTTTGAACTGGGCCTTGGAGTAGGATGTTCGCAAGCAGAGGTGGAAGCAGGAAGGCACAAGGAAAGGGGGCACTGAGTAGAGGTGCGAGAGGGGCTGGAGCTCATCCTGGGGAATAGGCGCAGGGGAGTGCAAGCAGAGAGGACCGTGCTGGCCGTGGCCCTCCTGCCAGCTCCCATCCAACCACGGGGGAAATGGGCCACTTTTTTTTAAAGAGGGATTTTTGCTATAGTGTGTGTGCTTGCCGGAGAGACAGAGAGAAAGTGAGAAATCACCCCCTGGGGGGATGGCCACACCACAATCCCTTCTCTTCCAATTCTCCTCTCGGGATTTTGGGCATGCACGCACACATGCCAGGCGTGAGTTTAAGCCACCAGGTCCGGGACTCGAACTGTGGTTGACTACATGGGAGTCCAGCAATGTAACCATCTGCTGGTCCCTTCTTTGTCATATCTTGACTGTACATTGCCAATTTGCAGGATTACTTTGAAATTTATATTAGATGATTTTACAGTAGTTCTCGTCTCAAAGTTAATTAATTAATAATTTACTTATTCTCTTGAAAAAGAATGTTGCATTTTGATAGCAAGTGAGTCATTTTTACAAGAATCATAGACAGTTTTATATTTGAGTCACCCGATTGAAGGATTTTTTCCCTAATAATTCTTTTTTTTAAGGTTTTGTTTTTTTTTTCCATAAGGCGTGTATGCTTGCTAGAGAGAGACAGAGAGAGGGCAAGTGAAAAATCACCCCTCTGGAAGGATGGCCATGCCATAATCACTTCTCCTCCATTCATCTCTTGGGATTTTGGGCATGCACTAACATGGTGTGATTTTTTTTCAAGCCACTCCACCAGGGTCGTGTGGGAATCCAGCACTTTAACCTCCACACCACCTGCTGGCCCATTTCCCCTAATAATTCTAAGATCTGTTTCATATTCTACAGTAAAAAATCTGACTATAACTTTTGACTCTCCCAAAACTTAACTGCTAATAGCCTAGTGCTGATCAGAAGCCTGAAGGAGGGACCAGCAGATGGTGTAGTGGTTATGTTACTGGACTCCCACATGGCTGACTGTGCTTCGAGACCTGGACCCAGTGGCTTGAAAATCACACCAGGCACATGTGTGTGTGTGCGTGCCTGTGGGCCCAAGATCTCAGGAAGAGAACGGAGAAGAAGGGGTTGTGTCATGGCCATCTTTCTGGGGAGTGATTTCTTATTTTCCCTCTCATTGTCTCTTTTTCTCTCCTTGGTAAGTGCACATGTCCTAAGGCAAAAACCTCTCAAAAATAAATGAAAGAAAGAAAGAAAGAAGCCTTAAGGATGACAAACAATTGATCAACACTTATTTTCTATGTTACATGGATTACATACTGTATTGTTATCATAATGTAAGTTAGAGAAAAAATGTTATTAAGAAAATCATAAGGGAGCCAACAGGTGGTGTGGTGGTTAAGGCTCTGGATCCCACATGGCTGACTGTATATGGTTTGAGTCCTGGACATGGCCATCCTCCCCGGGGAAGGGGGGTGATTTCTCACTTTCCCTCTCTTTGTCTCTCTCCAGCAAGCATGCTTGCCCTATGACAAAAATCTTTTAAAAAAACCAAAAAACCAAACAAACAAACAAAAAAAAAACGATAGGAAAACACATTTACAGTACTGTACTGCATTTTCCAAAATATTCATTGAAACAAAAATTCACTTATAAGTGGGCCTGCTCAGCCCAGACCAGTTTTGTTTAAAGGTCAGCAGTATTAATACAAGGTCATCTCGGATTCTCAGAGGAAGAGGCAATAATCTGCTCCGCGCTAACTGTAATGTACTGCTGCCAGCTGAAGTAAGAATCTGGCCATCCATCTCACTGTAGCGAGTTATCTGCCAGAAGAATTGAAGAAGCACACTTGGGTTGTAATCCTGCATCTGCCAATTACGAAATGAGCTTGGTTGAGTCATCTAACATCTCCAGGCTCCCTTTTTTCCATCTGTGAAATGGAGGCATCTGGGGCCAGCAGGTGGTGTAGTTGGCTAAGGTGCTGGGTTCTCACCTGGCGGCTTGAAACTCACACTAAGCATGTGTGTGTGTGTGTGTGTGTATGTGTGTGTGTGTGTGCCCAAAATCCTGAGAGAAGAATGGAAGAGAAGGGACTGTGGCATGGCCATCCCCAGGGGGTGTTTTCTTGCCTTCTGTCTCTCTTTCTCTGTCTCTCCAGCAAGCACACGGGCTCTATATCAACAATCTCTCTTTCAGAAAAAGAAAAAGCATGGAGGGACCATCTCAGTTCTGTGATACTTTGGCAAGGCCATGAGTCTTGCTGGGCCCTGAGCTCCACAAAGCCAGCTTTCCAGACCCCACAGTGAGCTCAGGCCCCCACCCCCCAGTTCAGGTTCCTTCTCTCCATCACTGCTTCCACACCAGCTGATCTTGGCAATCACCTCTGCGTTGAAAAGAATGCAGACTTGGAGTCACCAGGTGGTGTGGTGGTTAAGGCACTGGATTCCTACATGGCTTACCATGGTTTGAGACCTGGAACCGGCAGCTTGAAAATCTTGCCCTGTTTTGTGTGTGCATCTCCGAAATCCCAAGAGAATGGAGAAGGGATTGTGGCGTGGCTGTCCCTCCTGGGGGGTGATTTCTCAGTTTCCCACTCTCTGGCAAGAGCATATGCCCTATATCAAAAACCTAAAAAAAAGGAAAACGCAGACTTCCATGTCCTTCGCAGACTGACTGGAGCAGGGGCTGGACTGCGCTTTCTCTTCTAAATCAAAGCGAGTGTTTGCCTTTGGGGACTGGAATTATGGTAACACTTTTTTCCACTCTCTTTATGATTTCCCGTACTCTTTATTTTTTTTGTCACTAAGCATGTAAAGAAAAGAAAAAAGAAAAAACTGGGTTTGGGGTTTTATTTTGTTTTCATTGAGGGGTAAGGTGAGAGGTGAGGTGTTCAAATGCATGGAATTGCTTTCCTTTGCCCAAGAAAATAACGTATGTGAGTCTTTTAAGAACTCTCTTGGTGAGAGGAGGACAGACTTGTTCTGATGAACTGATGAGCTCACAGAGAAATGAACTCAAACTTCGTAGGTCTTGGAAGACAGGCCGTACGCAGTGATGGTGGCTGGTGGCAGACAGGCGAGTCACTCCGCGTTGGCATTGCACATCTATGGAAGCCAGGCAGAAGAAGGCATTTCCTCCCAGGGCAGAAGAGAGCTCAGGACAGAGAGATTCTGTCTGTCCCAACTCGCGATGCATCCAGTGGTTTTCCATTCTGTGACTGCTGGCCCGGGACGACTCGTGGTGCTCTGTCTTGCCCATTTGAGCTTGCCCTGGCTGTCACATGGCTCCAGGGGACATCATCCAGCTCTGGCCTGGCTTCGGTGCCTCTGAATCAAATTGTTCCCTTATTCATCGTTTGTTTGGCTATTTTCTTTCTTTCTTTCTTTCTTTCTTTCTTTCTTTCTTTCTTTCTTTCTTTCTTTCTTTCTTCCTTCCTTTCTTTCTTTCTTTTTTTTTTTTAAGAGGTTTTTGCTATAGGGCGCATGCGTTCGCCAGACAGACAGAGAGACAGAAAGTGAGAAATCACCCCCCAGAGGGGATGGTCACGCTGCAACGCTGCAATCCCTTTTCCTCCATTCTCCTCTCGGGATCTTGGGCACACACACACACGTGCCCGGCGTGAGTTTAAGCCACCGGGTCCGGGACGCGAACTGCGGTCGACTACGTGGGAATCCAGCAACATAGCCATTATGCTAACTGCTGGTCTCTTGTTTGATTATTTTCTACCTCAGCAATGGTGGCCCAGCCAGCAGAGAAAAGCTGCATGGAGAGTGTGCAGCCCTTCCTGGCGTCCATTCTGGAGGAGCTCATGGGGCCGGTGAGCTCCGGCTTCAGTGAAGTACGCTCACTCTTTGAAAAAGAAGTGGATGAGCTCAGCCAGAGCTTCCAGACCACCAAGGACTGTGTCCAGCTGAAGGAGGTAGGATGGGAGCTGCTGCTTCGCTGAGCACTGTGAGCACTGAGCGCTGAGCTGGGCATGGGTGGACTCCTGAGGCTGCCTTCCTTGGGCTTTGTCTGCTCTCCTTCCCTCGCTCACTCCCTCCCGCCTTCCCTTCCTCTGGCTTCCACTCTTTCATCTGGCCTTTCTTACATCCACCTGACCACCCAGTCACTTATCCGCTCAGCCTTTCATCCACCTGGTATTGCTATGGGTGGTTTTCAAGTTATAGAAGTGCCAGTTGGAGGGAACTGAGTCATGCATGTAAAGGCGACATTAGCATCCCTGATAGCCACCCTCCCAGTACTCCCCACTCCTAGGCCACGCCCATTCCCAGCGCCCTGAATTCAGGAGTGTAAGTAGCTCTGCATATGACCTTCTGTCCCTTTTCAAGCAAATATCCTCATTTATAGGTTTGTTGGCTTGCTTTTTTTCTCAGAAACATAGACTCATGATAGAGACCTGTGTTTCTCCATGTGTGTCCCAGGGTCAGCAGTGCCATCGTCATCGGGTTGTTAAGAATGCAAATTCTCAGGCCCCACTGCAGATCTACTAAGTTGGAGACTCTGGAGGTGGGGCCCTGAGTCTGCCTTTGTTTACTTGCTTCTTTTTTTTTTTTTTTTTTTTTGCCCCTATAGGGCGCGTGTGCTCGCCAGACAGACAGAGAGACAGAAAGCGAGAAGTCACCCCCCAGGGGGGATGGTCATGCCACAATCCCTTCTCCTCCCTTCTCCTCTCAGGATCTTGGGCACGCGTGCACAAGCGCCCGGCGTGAGTTCTAAGCCACCAGGTCCGGGACGCGAACTGCGGTCGACTACGTGGGAATCCAGCGACATAGCCATTACGCTAACTGCTGGTTCCCTACTTGCTTCTTTTTTAAAAAAATGAATTAATTTAATATTTTAAGTGGTGTTTTTTGTTTTTGTTTTGTTTTTGTTTGTCTTGTTTTGTTTTTGCCATAGGACGCGTGTGCTCACCTGAGAGAGAAAGTGAGAAATAACTCAAGGGGGATGGCTACCTCGTGATCCCTTCTACTCACTCTCCTCCTAGGATTTTGGGCACACGCACGCATGTGCCCAGCGTGATTTTCAAGCCACCAGATCTGGAATTCAAACCGTGGTCAGCCGTGTGGGAGTCCGACATCTTAACTGCTGTGTCACCTGCTGACTTCCTCCCCAGAGTCTTTTTTTGGGGGGAAGGGATAGAGGGTTTTGTTTTTTTTTTTTGCCTTAGAGCTTGTGCACTTGCTAGAGAGAGACAGAGACAGTGATAGTGGGATGGAAAATGAGAGACCACCTCCCGGGGGATGGCCACACCACCATCCCTTCTCCATCATCCTCTCAGGATTTTGGACATGCAGGTGCATGTGCCTGGTGTGAGTTTCAAACCTCCCAGTCTGGAACTCTTAACAGCAGGCGACCATGTGAGAGTCCAGTGATGTGACCATTATGCCAACCTGCTGGCCCCTCTGCTACATTTCAAACAAGGGATTTAAATTTTACACTTGCTCATTGCACTTCCTCAGGCAGGGAGCTTTCTCCCCCCGTATTCCATCAGATTGGGGTTGTCATTTGCTTAAGTGTCACCCAACTGACAGGAACAAGGAACAAGAGCCATTCTTGCTCTTCTGCCTGCTTATATATATTTTAATGGCCAGAGGGTACATGTGCTCACCAGAGAGTGGGAGAGAGAGACAGTTCCCAGTGGAGCGTGGTCACTGCAGTCCCTTCTCTCCATTTCTCCATCCTGTTGGGATTTGGGCATGCACACACATGTGCCTGGCATGTGTTTTAAGCCCTTGGCTCAGGGCCATGCGGGACCCCATGACTTTAACCACTAGGTCATGGGGTCAGTCCAGTCTATACGTTTATAAACAGATTCATTTCATATTGTGTAGGAGGGACAAGTTCAACCATATGCTTTTGATGATTAATTCCACATCAATGACTGTCTCCATAATTCACTTCTTAAAGGGAGTAGCATCTTCCCTTATAGCACTATTAGAATGGACCCTTTTAAAATTTGTTTAAAGAAAGCTAAAAATTAGATTTGTCTTTTTTCTATAAGGCAAAGATAGAGCTTCCTGTGCCAGCACCTTCCTTCTCTCTCTCTCAGTACATTTTCAGGATTATTTATTTATTTATTTATTTATTTATTTATTTATTTATTTATAGAGATTTTTGCTGTAGAGCACATGTGCATGCCAGAGAGGCATTGAGACAGAAAGCAAAAAATCACTCCCCAGGGAGGATGGCCATGCCACAATCCCTTCTCTTCCATTCTCCTTTTGGGATTTTGGGTACACACACATGTGCCCAGTGTGTTTCAAGCTATCGGGTCCAGGACTCGAACTGGTGTCAGCCATGTGGGAGCCCAAAGCTTTAACCACTGTGTCACTGGCTGTCCCCTTCCTGATTATTTTAAACCTCCAGTATTCAATTTTAAAAATTATTTGTAGGTCAGCTTGGGAAATAGATTGCCCTCTGCTGTAACAACACTCACAGTGTAAAGCATGTTGCTAACGCTTGAGGGCTTTCACAGACGAGTTATTAAGTTTGACTGGCGCAGACTAGAGCAGGACGGGCCCATTTTTTACAACTGGATACCTCTCGTAGGTCAGTCTTTTTTCTATCATGCTTGCCTTAACCACCAGCTCCATGAGGCAACCTACAGCAGAGGGAAGCCTGTGGGTGCTGTTCGAGCATCATAGAATTGTGGGGAACGCTTGCCAACCTGCCCAAGTCCAGGAGCCAGAGAGCATCCAAATCTCCCTGGAGTTTGTCGATGTCACTCATTTAAGGCTTGGAAAGCTCGCAGACCCAGCAGCAGTCAAGTGCCACAGACCTCGCCTGTCTGGCTCCCAGGCTCTGGATTGGGAGCTTGGAGTTCGTCAAGAGTTTATGAAGACTGAAGTCTCCCCCTCCCCGCAACTCTGAGTGCACCTCCGAGTCTTCCCATCATCTGGCTGGCCAGTGTCTGTCCTAGAAATAGGGCTTCCCTGAAGAGCCACCGAAGGAGGGAAGTGAGACAGTCGAGATGTCACCCGTGGGGATCCGAGCAGTGGCTCTCTAATTACGTACGTGTGGCTGTTGAGAACGTAGGTGATACGTAATAGGCATGCAGTACCATTCTAAGTCTGAGGCATTTACTCCAGCATCTAGGCCGGCTTCTGAGTCTCCCGCTGGATTCTGTGAAGATGGAGCCTTGTTACGTGAAAGTCGACCTGCTTCAAGAACGCCTGCAGGATCTCAAGAGCCGCTTCCGCTTCCCCCACGTGGACCTGGTGGTTCAGAGGACACAGAACTACATGCAAGAGGTGGGAGCAGCAGGGCACCGGGTGGATGAGGGCGGGCGGGCGCAGAGACATCACCGAACCCAGGGGAATGGGCACGTCTGTCATCGTCCCGTCACGTGAGGACGTTCTCTGTCCCGCTAGAGGCTTCCTCTTTCTTCCAGGTTGAACATCAGAGAGAAGAACTATCTCAGGGAAACAAAATAGCATTAATTAATGATTACTTGATTTGTCAAATCGGTGCTTTTAACAATGGCCTCGCACTAGTATCATCTGGGTGCTCTTAGGAAGTCCTGGTGCCTGTGCCCCATCTCCAGGGATTCTGAGTATATATAGAGATACGTATTGGCGGGATGGTCTCTCTATTTATTAGTTTATTTATTTAATTTATTTACTAGCTTATTTTTAGAGAGATTTTTGCCATGGGGCTCATGTGTGTGCCAGAGAGACAGAAAGCAAGCAACCACCCTCCATGGAGGATGGCCACGCTGTAATCCCTTCTCCTTCATTCTCTTGGGATTTGGGGCATGCACACACGTGTCTGGCATGAATTTTAAGCTTCTGGGTCTGAGACTTGAACCATGGTCGTTTACATGGGAGTCTAGTAATGTAACCATTATGTTACCCGCTGGTCCCAGGAAGGGTCCCTTTAAAGAACTCCCACCCCTATTCTCACTATTTCTAATATGCAGCCAGGATCGAGAGCCATGGCTTAAATGAATTCTCTAACCTAGTTGAGAGTGGAAATCAATCACATCTTCGTATTTTAGTTTCTTGTGTCTACTTGCTAGATTTTTCTGTTTTTCCACAAGGAACCTTTTCCCCAGAACAGGACTGACTCACACCAACTCTTTTCAGGTTATGGTTCTTGAAATGAAGAAAGGTGTAAGGACACAGTTTTATTTCCCGGATGTTCTGGGGGAGCTCACTGTGGGCCCTGCGGTGGGCTGAATCTCACTTCGCAGAGCTGTAGTGACACTGAGTCTTAGATCAGTTCCTGCAGCGTTGACAGTGCTGTCACAGAGGTCTGTGTTCAGATGCTTTGCACTTAGGAAAGAAACCTGTAATTTTTTTTTGGAGAGGTTTTTGCTACAGGGCGCGTGTGCTCGCCAGACAGACAGAGAGAGACATAGAGACAGAAAGCGAGAAATCACCCCCCGGGGGGATGGTCATGCCGCAATCCCTTCTCCTCCATCCTCCTCTCGGAATCTTGGGCACGCACGCACATGCGCCCGGCGTGAGTTTTAAGCCACCGGATCTGGAACGCGAACCGTGGTCGACTACGTGGGAGTCCAGTGACATAGCCATTACGCTAACTGCTGGTTTCCATAAACTCGTGATTTTGTCTTAAAGCTTTTTTTAAAAATTATTTTATTTATTTATTTATTTATTTGCTTTAGAGCACATGCACTTACCAGAGAGAGACACAGAGGGAAAGTGAGAAAGCAAGCCTCCAGGTCTGGGACTTAAACTGTGGTTGGGCCAGGTGGGAGTCCAGCCTCTTAACCACCATGCCACGAGCTGGCCCCAACTCATGCTCTAATTTTATTTTGAAGTGCGCCTGTACATAGGCGTGTGTGTCTGTGTGTGTGTTTCCTACCTCTTAGCGAGGTCACTGCGGCCCTGTGGCTACTGCTTCATAACCCAGGGAGTGGGGTGAGGACTCGTTGCCCTCGGCCACCCCTGGATGAGCGTCTGAGGGGACCGACTCATCTCTGATGGCCTGTTGCCCCTTCTGCAGACCAGGAGTTGCAGTCCCAGCCTCTGACTGCTCTGTTTCTGTGTGCTTCTGGTTTCCAGCTGATGGAGAATGCAGTATTCACTTTTGAGCAGCTGCTTTCTCCACATCTCCAAGGAGAAGCCTCCAAAACCGCAGTGGCCATTGAGAAGGTTAAGCTTCGAGTGTTAAAGGTAAAGCCCTTCTCTCATTCATTTGTGGGAAGCAGAAAACAAGAATGTAACTCCTGTTTCTTTTGTTACTGGGGAAATGACCATGTTCTCTTTCTGAACGAAATGTCCCCCTTCCTCTCTCCTTCAGCAGCAGTTTCCTAAGGATGACTTTCATTCCTCTTCTGCCATCTAGTGGCTTCCTTAGGGACCGCGGGTCCTCGGCAGGTCCTCCCACAGCGAGGAGTGACGCATCCCAGCTTATTTCCAATTTCCAGGCAATTGCACTTGCAAACATTCTTTGGCTGTCCACTCTGAGCATCACGATAGGCGTTGCATGGGATATAAAAATAAGTGAGGCATATCTCTTCACAGAGTTCACAGTGTAGCAAAATTTCTTTAAAAGAAAAATCAAAACCTTAAGGCAAAGGAAATATGCCAAGGAGACGATACATTTTCATATGAAACTTTCAGATGTGCATCATTCGTGAGCATATATCAAGATGATTGTAATAAGCACATAGATGGCATATTTTAAAACTTTTTCCTCTGTAGGGCCCATGCGCTTGCTGAAGAGAGACAGAGAGGGAAAGTGAGAAACAACTCCCTCGGGGGGGGGATGGTCACACCACAATCCCTTCTCTGTTCTCCTCTAGGGATTTGGGGCATGCATGCACTTGTGTCCGGCATGTTTTTCAAGTTGCCATGTCTGAGACTCATACCGGAGAGTCAGCCATATAGGATCCAGCACCTTAACTTCCATGCCACCTGCTGGCCTGGAAACGTTTAATTTGATCCTCACAGAATGCGAGATAATTAGAATATTTCATTCTAATTAACCATTAGAATTAATTAATTCTAATTAATTAAAGAGCTCAAGTGTCTTCCTAAGCTCAACAGGCTCACCAATGGTGAGCTTAGAGGCGAACCATGTTTCTGCCTTGTCTGCTCACCCCGCGCTCCCTCCTGCTTCCTCAGACGACACTGTGGAATAGACACTCAAAATCCCACAGAGCCTGGGGCGGTCCTCGAACTCCAGACCCCATCTGGATGCCTCATAGGCTAGAAGAAACTCTAGCAACAAGTCATCGAGATTGAAAGCAGTACCGATCAGGATAACGGAAATGATCATGAACTTGTGATTGAGTTGACAGAAAAGATGGATCGGTGTCAAATATTTCAACAGATAGAGGAGAGGAACAAAGGAAGCAGAAAGGCATTCAGACATGAGGCCCTCGGGTTGGAGAGGGACTCAATGGGTCTCTAGTTCCATTCACATCCAGGAGTAATGATGTTCCTGCCAGGGGGTCAGCCAGTACTTGGACACCTCCAGTGTTGGGTCACTCTTTCTCTCCCAGGACTACCCGTTCCTGTTTTATCTCTGGATATTTTCGACTGCGGGAATGTGCCTTCTTGTGGTAGACCAGTAGACCAGTGCTCTCGCACTAGTCGTTCAAGTTCTGCCCTCTTGGTTCATATTTTTCTACAACACATGGTAGCCTTTGGTTGTTTGAACAGAGTTGTAATTTTGCCACGGGTTACTATCTCCAGTTAATTGCCTTCACTTCTTCGGCCACCCTTCCTTCAGCCATTCTGCTTCCGTCCCAGTTTGTCTGTGATCCCCTCCAAGCGACGCCTAAAATCAAACCTGGGTCTCCAGGTTTGGGGGGTCAGTGCAAAACAGGGAATCATCCTCTTTCTTGTTCTAGACACTAAACTTCTTTGAACTGTGTCACGGTGTTTGCAAAGCGCTGGACCCGGCCCTCTCTGCCCTTGTGGAATCACCACAATGCGCCGGTCCTGCTTTCAGGATGTAGATTGGAAACCATCAGCGATCGCGGCTCCCAGGGTGCTGCCCTGGACAGAGCTGATGGAGTGCAGGCACCCCCAGCCCCACCCCCGACTTCGTCATAGTGCAGGACAGATCGCCGCTCTGTTCTGGTCTTGCCACAATCTCCATATCTGTAGGAGGAGAGGGTGAGATGGGTGGGCCACTTTCAGTCCTAACCTATGCTTGGAGTATGAGGAGGTTACATCAAAAGATCCCTGAGACCTTGGACATACAGGGGCCTTCAGAAATTAGGAGGGGAAAGAGAGAGGAAGGGGGTGGCCGAGATTTTTTGTCCTGTTGCTCTTAGCATATGTTTCTGTGTTGACAGCAATATGATTACGACAGCAGCACCATTCGGAAGAAGATATTCCAAGAAGCACTGGTTCAAATCACACTTCCCACCGTGCAGAAGGCCCTGGCGTCCACGTGCAAACCAGTAAGGAGATGGGTTACTCCAAAGAGACTGCATAGTATGAAAAAACTACATACAAGTTTCAACGTTTTTTTTTCTTTTTTTGCACCAAGGGCTGGATGGTAGCACAGCGGTGAAATGTAGCACTCTGTGAGGCAGTCCCACATGGGAAGGTTCCTGGTTCAAATTCAGAGTCCTCCCTGAATGTGGTGGACACACAAGCACCCAGGATCCAGGGCTGACTGGAAATGGGGGTGGATTATGGCAGTGAGACCCCCTGTGTGGGTGCTGTCTCCTTCTCTCTCTTAAGTCCAAAACAATTGTTGTACCAAAATAAATCCTTACTTTTAATTCCATTTTTCCACAAACAGACACATCTATGTCCCCATGAATTTTATTTGCAAAATGAAGATGCAAGAGAGCTTTGCTGATTCCTGAGCTAGGCAAAGATCTCACAGGGTAAAGGCCTGAATTTGAGCCCAGCTAAGGGTTGACATGGAACGCCTCATTATAGTATGACTCGTTGGCCCAGCGTGTCCTCTGAAATGTGACCACTGCATCCAGAAAATATCCTAGATAATAAGATACCAGAAAGATATTCATTCTGTTAAATCCTGTAACAACAGTTTAATGAAATCACTTAAAGCTGCTTCACACACCAGGTGCGTAGTGGCTGCCCTGACCCTGAAGGTGGGGCTTAGTCTATGGGTGGCATAGGGCTGAACAGACTCTGGAGGCTGGTCTGAGACCAGAGTTCAAGTCTTTGCCCCTCTATAATCAGCTCTGGGGCAATTATTTTCCTCTCTTGGTCTAGATGTCAACTTCTATGAAATGTAGGTAATAATTTGTTGTTTTTTTGTTTTGTTTTGTTTTTTTAAGAGATTTCACTATAAGGTGTGTGCACTCTCTGGAGAGGCAAAGAGAGAGAGAAAGTGAGAAATCACCCCCTGAGAGAGATGGCCACACTGCAATCTCCTCTCTTCCATTCTCTGGGGATTTGGGGCACGTATGCACATGCACCCGGTGTGAGTTTCAAGCCTTCGTGTCCAGGATTCAAACCTGAGTCGGCCATGTGGGAGTCCAGCACCTTAGCCACTAGACACTTGCTGGTCCTTGTAGTATTGTTCTTAAGACTAAGAAGACTGGAATGACAGAATTAACACTGGGGATGCTGTTCTCAAGAGCAAGGCACCGTGTTTGACTTTCTATATGGATTCTCTCAATAATCCTCTCGATTGAGAGTGACCTGCGAGGAGGCCCTGTTTATGTTCTCATTGTGCAGTGGAGGGAACCTGAGTGGTTAAATAACAGGCCCAGACTCACAGAGCTGGAAGCACCAGCATTTGGACCCAGCCCACCCTCCCCTATCACATGGTGGGCACTCGTCAGTAGTCTCAGCTACTCCTATTATTATTACTAACCATTCACATTTCAGAGATGATCTACGAGACTGGACATGGCAAGGCCTGCTCCCTCTTGGGACCAATGATAAAGAGCTCTCTGGAATTTAAAAAGGGCTTTTTGGCAGCCTGGAGAGTCTCTAGGCACTGGAACATTAAATTCATCCGCATGAGTTATTTTACTGCGGACATTTCTGTGGTCATTTTTATATTCTGTAAATGCTATTTATCTTCATATAGTCATCAGCCTAGCATACATCATACTTGGCACTTGTTTCTGGGGTGTATTTCTTCAGTAGAAAAGGATTTGATTAAGGCAAACGAGTAGACTCGGTCTATACGAGCATCCTTCAGTCTTATGTGACAGAACCGTTCAGCGGCCCGACAGTGACTGGGTTCACCTCTGGACGTGTCTGTGCTCAGATGTTCTCCTGAGGGTACTTTTATTTTTCAATCACAGAGGCAGCGTGGGTCTCAGAGTCACCTCCTCCCAGTGAGAAGAAAGCTAAGAAGAGTTCCCCTTCTCGTCTGCTCCCCTCTTCCCAAGCATCAGCAGAGGGGGTTATACCCGAGCTGTAAGAGGCTCTTAGTGATTTTTTCCCTAACTTTATTTGTTTCTCCTGTGAGTGAGAAAGACAGAGAGATAGAGAGAAAGAGAGAGACACAGGACACACAACAGGCTCTTAGTGCCCCCAGCTGTTAGCCAGCCCTGCCCGGATCATGGGCAAGCACATGCCTGGGGTACTCAGGGAAGTCTCCAGATTTGAACACGGAACCTTCCCATGTCGGATTGCCTCACAGAGCATTGTTTTACAACTGCACCACTATCTGAGGTACATCTCTCTTCTGATTTTTTTAAGAGGTTTTGGAAAGGTTCGTTTGTTCATTTGTTTGTTTGTTTATATTTAAGGTTTTTGCCATAGAGTGCCCAGAGAGAGACAGAAACAGTGAGATGGAAAATAAGAAATCATCCCTCGGGGTGGTGGCCATACCACAATCTCTTCTCTTCCGGGATTTTGAGCACACACGTACCAGGTCGGATGTGATTTTCAAGTTGCCAGGTCTGGGACTCGAACTGCATTGGCTGTGTGGGAATCCAACGCCTTAACCACTATATCACCTGCTGGCCCCTTGTGATTTTTTAATGGAGAGCCTGTGAGCAGAGTTATCAGTAATGAAGGATATCAATGTAAAGAGCTTCTTAAAAATCCGAATTTACGGAACAGATCATTTATTGTCTGCTCTGTAGAAGTCATCTTTATTTTACTAAATTGTGTTTTCCTTGGTTCTTTAAATAGCAACTTCTTAGATCTATGCACTCAATCTTGCTATGTATTAGAACTGTGGGAACAGTTGGAAAAAAAAAAAAAAAAAGATTCTGACTCTTCAAGACCCACTCTCAGGGATTCCCATATAGCTAACTAGCCCAGAGAAGGAAATATCTGCTAGTTTGGTCCGTTCCGTGTGGAAGGCCTGACTGTAAAACTGAGCACACCATAGCAGTGTACATGGCCCCAGAAATGATTTTGTTCCACAAAATTATTAGCTGGTTGAAGTTTTAAATGTCTACTGTTTACTCAGTACAGCCAGGCCAACCTGTGGTGCGGTGGTTAAGGGAGCAGGATCCCACATAGCTGACTGAGTGGTTCAAGTCCTGGAGGCTGTGGCCTGGGAAACATACCTGGTGTATGTGTGTGCATGTGTGCCCCAACATGCCAAAATCTCCAGACAAGGAGAACTAGAGGAGAAGGGATTGTGGCATGGCCATTCTCCATGGTGTGGTGGGCAGGTGCTTCCTCTCTCTCTCTCTGGCAAGGCATGCACCCTTTGGCAAAGAATAAATGCATCAAATATATTTGCCATGTGCCAGACCACCACCCCTGCCACCCTGGAGTTCATGGCGCAGGGGCAGGGGGCTGTGCTGTGGGGGGAGCTCACAGCAGCCTTACAGGGAAGAGTTCCCGAAGATGCCAAATTCTGCTGATGGGCCCAGAGAGAAGTTCTCAGAGTCGTGCTTTCACCAAGGGGAAGAGGAATAAGGATGGGGGACCATGAAGGGGTGAAGAAAGGGTGTCTGTGCATGAGTCAGGGCCCCTCATCTGGCAGACAAAGAGACAGAGGTGCAGCATGGTGACATGGCTTGCCCAGGGTCCCATCGCTTATTCTGGGCACGGCCATCTCTGAGCAGGTCCTTTCCATCTCTGTGCCTCAGTCTGTCGTATAGACTCTCTCTGGGTCACTGAGGCGTAAGTCTCTTCAGTCCTTTGGCTCTCGGGCGGGTATAAAGAGACCTCATGACTGTCTGCTGGCAATCCAGTTGAATCCTGGGTACAGCACCCCAAATCTTAGCACTGCAAGTTGTCTGAATAGGGTGGCTTCTGACCACCTGCTATAGATCCTGTCCCTGCAGGCAAAAGGCATCAAATCCCACCGCTATGTCCCTGGTTCTCCCCCAAAGGGAGGCCTGCCCCAGACAACCAAGTGCACGGATTACAGAGTTCATCACCGCCATGTCATCTGGCGCCTGTGATCCTTGCCCTGTCCTCATGCTGGCAATAGGCAAGCCATTTGGAAAACCCCAGAAAGCAGGGAGGGTTACGGCACTTTGCATCGGCCCTCCCTCAGCTGTCTCCGAAGAAATCAGTGAGTGTCAGGCCAGTCGGGAGCGGCAGGGGAGAAAGTTCCTGAAGAGTCTTTGACTAGAAATTCTCCCAGGCTGAAAGGGGTCCTGTTCTAATAGAGTTAAACATACATCCACACTGTGGCCTCGCAATCTCACTCTAGGAATATACCCAAGATAAGTAAGTTGTTAAATAAACACGCACACACGCAGTAGTAGAAGAATATTCGCAGCAGTTATATTCGTAAGAGACAAAGTGGAAACATCTCCATGTCGATCAACAAGAATGTGAATAAAAATGTTTAATTAGTTGATTTTTTTATTTTTGGCCAGAGGGTGTGTGCACGTGCCAGAGAGAAGCAGGGTGACAGAGAGAGAAGGAGAGGGAGAAACACCTTCTGATGGGCCGTGGCATCACAGTCCCTGCTCCTTCACCCCTCTGTCCTGTTGGGATTTGGGTTATACAGGCATCCAGGCCTGGCAAATTTTTCAAGCTGCTGGGGCCAGGATTCAAACCATGTGGTTGGCTTTGTGGGATCCAGCTCCCTTAACCCTTAGGCTATAGGGCCAGTTCAACCATTTTAATTTGTCTTTATAATGAACGCTGTTTATCAATGAAAAGAAACGAGCTACTGATACACGTAGCCACAGGGATGAATCCCAAAACACATACAAAAGAAAATATACTTTGGTTTATAAAAAGTTCAAGAACAAGCAAAAAACAAGTAAGTCATGATAGATATCAGAACAATGCTTATCTCCTGGAGGAGTGTCGACCGGAGAAGGCTCTGGGGGTGGTACTGAGGCTCTCCGCCTTGACCTGGGTTATGGTGATTTGTGTATATTTATATTTTAAATCACTTTTAAAATCTGTGCCTTTCGCTGTATGTAATACCTACCTTGGTAAAGCCCTCTTGCCTTTTTCTTAAAAAAAAAAAAAGGAAAGAAAGAAGGAGACCCTGAAGTTATGATGAAAAAAAAGAGGCGCTAGTCCTGCTGACGAGGCCTTCTAGGGTCTCACCCGGCCAGGGGCACGGAATGTGTGCCCAGGGAAGGGAAGAGAGCTGCCCGCGGCTGCCAGCCATGCCCTGTCGTCTACATTAACAGAAGTGTGGGGGGCGGGCATGGTGCTTAGTCCCGCAAGCGGACAGGGGGGACCCACTGAAACATGGGTGGGCTGGGTCGTGCTCTAAACATCTTCTGGGGGCCAACCTTGCCCTCTCCCACACCCCCAAGGACGGGCTGAGTGTGAGTCCCTCGCTGGGAATGGCTCCATGCCGTTTCTTCTTTGTCTTCTGGTCTTGTCCTCCAGGAGCTTCAGAAATACGAGCAGTTCATCTTCGCCGACCATACCAGCGTGATCCAGGTTGAAAATGTGTATGAAGAGCTTTTACATCAGATCCTCCTAGATGAAACTCTGAAAGGTAAGGCCGGTTACCTGTGGCTTTTGGCGGGGGGGGGTTCATAGTGGGAAGCACCCTGGACACGGGCCTCAGGAGGGCTGGGAAGGCACGACAGGAGAAGAGGTTGGCAGTGGCAGGCGGGACACGTGCGAGCAGAGGGGAGGAAGGAGGGCACTAGCCTTGCCAGGCGTCCGTGGCCTGCCTGCACCATGTGATCCTTTGTGTACCATTTTCTTTTCTTTTTTGATTTGCCAGAGGGTGTGTGCGCTCCCTGGGGAGACAGGTAGAGAGAAAGTGAGGGCCCCCCTCCCTCCATCGTGGGGAATGGTCACACTGCAATCCCTTCTCTTCCATTTCTCTGTTTTCTTAGGATTTTGAGCGCGCACACACACGGGGTATTTCTCACGCTGCCAGGTCTGGGACTTGAACCTTACCATCAGTCGTGTGAGATCAAGTCCACATAATCATTATGCTACTGGGCTGGCCCACAATGTTCTCTTTCAAGACAAATATAAACTCTGAGGGGTTTTTGTAGAAGTTTTTGCTATAGGATGCTGTGCTCGCCAGAGAGACAGAAAGGGAGAAATCGGCATGGCCATGCTGCAGGTCCTTCTCCTCACGGAATTTTGGGCACACACACATACATGCACCCGATGTGAGTTTCAAGCTGCCGAGTCCTGGACTCAAATCACGGTTGGCCACATGGGAGTCCAGCACCTTAACCCCTATGCCACCTACTGGCCTGAGAATTTAAGCTTCATTTTACAGAAGGTCAGACTGAGGCTTAGAGTAAATTTAGCATCCCTGGTGAAGAGTGATTTTCCCTAGACTAGTCCATGAAACAAAGGCTAAGGGACTCTTTTCAGGCTCAAGCTGCAATCCTCCCAGAGCCACGAGGGGGTGATTCTGGCAGCAGGGCTTCCTGAGTGCGTTCTCAGCATCTTCCTCGTCTCCACTCAGCTGGGCAGAAAAGGACCTGAACCAGGACACAGGGCCCTGCCAGCCTGTACAAGGCTCTAGCACCCAGTACCCCACGGGCTCAGGCCTTGCCTGGGATCAGAATGAGGAGGAGAAAACTGGTAAAAATACTCCAGAGAGGGCCACCATCACTCTGTGGACCTGAAACATGCCTGGTCTCTACAGGGAAGATCTGGGGTAGCACAGAAGCTGTTCCACAGAGAAAACTGACCATGCACAAGGCCCGACCACAGCAGCTCACCTCAGGGGATCCAGCGAGCTCGATTTCACAACCGACCTTGTCTGCACCAGACAGGGCTCAGCCAGGCCTTTGCCTGCCCCCTATGAGAACCTCTGGATAAGTTCGAAAGAGATTTCTTACAGGGTGCCAGCTGGTGGCATAGTGGTTAAGGCCACTGGATCTCACATGGCTGACCGCGTGGTTTGAATCCCCAACCTGGTGGCCTAAAGAAATGTGCCAGGCACATGTGCATGCATGCCCCAAATCCCAAGAGGAGAATGGGGGAGGAGGGATTGTGGTGTGGCCATCTCCCTTGGGGAAGGTGGTTTCTCACTGTCTCTCTCTCTGTTGAGTACATGCACCCTGTAGCAAATTAAAATAAGTAAATCAATGAAAGAGATTCCTTTTCCCAGACACTTCAATGCTGTCTTTCAAACAGTGGTCATAATATACTGATTTTGTTGGGGAAGGGCACTGCTGCTAGCGGCTGAAAGCTCTTGCCGAATGCACAAGACATGCCATCTCTGCATGACCGGCACCCCTTGGGTGTGCTAGTGTAGGGCATCGTAACCCTGCACAGCTGCAGGCAGAGGCCCATCGTCCGCATCTCCGCTGCTGTGGCTGTTCTTGCTCCTCTCAAGGCCTTTGAGGCCGAGCGAGGCTGACAGATCTTCATGTGGGGCACATGAGGCCCATCAGGGTCTTTCATCTGCATGCTCAGGGCTGGGTACCTGTTAGGTGCTCACGGCTGTACTGAGACCAAAGCCAGAGAAGGTCGGGCCACCCCCGCCTAGTGGCCAGGCCAGAGCTGCCCGAAAGCAGCTGCTGGGATGTGATGGGGCCCCTGTGTGAGGCAGAAGATACCACTGTAGACCTCATCTCTGCATTCCCAGTGCCCGTCCCGTACAACCCAAACGGGATAGCCAGCAGATGATTGCTGTTTGAATAAATGAACAAGTGGACACTGTAGATGTACCAAGTTTTTGTTGTTTTGTTTTGTTTTGTTTTTTGAGAGAGAGATTTTTGCTCTATTGCATTTGTGTTTACTGGAGAACAGAGAAAGATAGAAAGATAGAAAATGAGAAATCGTTCCCCGGGGGGATAGTCATGTCACAATCCCTTCTCTTCCACTTTCCTGTCGAAATTTTGGGCATGCACGTACATGCTCTTCGCATGAGTCTCAGGTCGCCAGGTCTGGGACCTGAACCAGTTGTCCATGTGGGAGTCCAGCACCTTAACCACTATGCCATCTGTTAGCCCCAAGGTTGCACGTTTGAAAGCGTTTGCAGTCTTTGGTTATCAGGGAAGATCACCTGGAAGGGGATGAACGTAAGCTGGGTCTTGCAGCAGAAAGGCAATTTGGCTTCCGGACAAATCAGAAATCAAAATCCACATTGGCGAGACAGTGTTAACGTCGTGTTTTGTTTGCTGCCATTTCAGTGATAAAAGAAGCTGCTATCCTGAAGAAACACAACTTATTCGAAGACAACATGGCCTTGCCCAGTGAAAGCGTGTCCAGCCTAACAGATCTGAAGACCCCCACAGGGTCAAATCAGGCCAGCCCTGCCAGGAGGGCCTCTGCTGCTCTGCCTTCAGTGCCGGATGGCGAGACCCCTGGCAGTGAAGTTTTCCAGGACTTGGAAGAAAAGCAGCAGCTCAGAGTCCCTGGCTCCTGGCCCAAAGGAGACAGCCTCTCTGTCCCCGCGCCCAGCCCTCCCCTAGGTGGAGCTGGCCAGGTGATTGCTTCCGATGCGGAGGACCCTGTTGTGGATCCTGTGGCTGCAGAGGACACAGCAGGACCCCTGGGCAACTGCTCATCGGAGCCACAGTTTGGAGGGACCCCTAAGGAGGAGGAACCCACCCATGAAAAGCCAGAATCTGCCTCCTCCTTAGGCTCCTTGGATGAGCTCAGAAAGCTGTTGACGGTGACAGTTGAAGTCCCAGTGGAGTCTGCTCCAGGGGGTGATAAGGATGCAAATGAGGAGACCTTTGTTTCCCCAGAAAGTGAAAAAGAAGAAGAAAAAATCCAGACCCACACAGAGGCCAAGTGGCCAGCCGTCCCCTGTCCAGACAACTGCGAAGGAAGCAAAGTCAGTGAGAGGAAGGCCAGTCCTCCCCCAGCAGAGCCCGAGGCCCCTGGGGTGGAGTTGGGGGGCTTACCAGAGGCCAGCAGCCCTGCTTCTCAGCCAGCCTGGGGAGCGCTCCCTGAGGGGGCCCTGGAGGAGCCAGCAGAGGCTGGGGAGCCCCCTGAGGCAGAGCCCACAGGGAAGGCTTCCAACTCGGACGCCTCCGAGGGTGCTGGCGAGGGAGAGGCCGGGCCTCCAGAAGATTGTATGTTAGGTTCCGGCCCTGTCTGTCCCAGCGAGAGCCAGGTTTCAGAGGAACAAGAAGCCATGAGAGAAGGGAACAGTGGGGCCCAGGCCATGGCTGACGTGGACATGGAGGAGACCAAGGAGGCCCGGGTTTATCAGTGTCAGTGGGTGGTGGAGGATGCTCCCAGCACCGATGTCCTTGGCTCGCATGCAGATGACAGCCCTGTACACGTGTGTGACAGTGGTCAGGAGAGTTCCCCTGGGCAGCCCTTAGAGGAATGAAAGGGACACTGGGCAAAAGTCACAGGGTTATAGTTATGGGTACACTTTGGAGTTGCATATGAATTATTACACCCCCCAAAATTAAGTTTTTGCCTAATGCGAATCATAAAACCAGAGGAAATGCATACAGGGTGTGAGCACAGGGGCATACTTTGGTGGAATTGTACTGTTCTACCACAAATCACCGCTTCAGCATTTTAGCAGGAATTGCGAAGGCAGCGGGGTGTTGGGTGAGGGGCAGCGGCGGGTGTCCCGGGGAGGGAGTGGATGGCAGCGAAGGTGACAGCACAGCGGGAGCAAAGCTTTCGGCACCCCTGCGCGCTTCGCGGGCTCATCTTCTGGCGCACTTTAAGGCTTTTTAATTGTTCTGTAAAGATGCAAGCGTGTACTTTAAATCCAGCCTCACCATCTACTTGACCAATTTTGTCCTCTCCGGAGGAGTCGGCACTCGCCCACAGGCAGGCTGTAAGAAAGGAGGGCTTGATCTCTGTCGCCCTTGCTGGGCGAAGCCCCAGGAAACCTGTCCTGACGGGTCCCGAGGGAGCCCGAGCAGAAACGAGAGCAAGGTTGGGGGCTGTGGGACGTTCTGGGCCTGGTACAATTCCACCACCAGCTCCCTGTTAATGAATCTTACTGATACTTACTAGTTAATCACCTATTAAGAAAGTTCAGATGAAGTAAGAAAGTGTCGTTGGCATGTGGAAGCCTGAAAGCCATCCAGGTTAGCCTTAGACTGTGCGGAGGGTCCTGGGAAAACGACAGCTCGAAGCCTCCCAATGAAACAAGCAGTATTTGAACTGTTACTGCATGCTATGCACGTGTCTGCCTTAGCAAGAAAGAAAGTGTACTTCATCTCATGTAAGTTTAAAGACCCAAGGGGATTTCATCTAGAACTTAAAAACATACTACTTTTTTTACTTAGGACTGTTTAGGTCATTCCAGAACCAAACCTGGGCATCCGACGTGGCTCCAGCCTCATGGGGCAGCCCCTGGCACCCTCGCCAGCACGGCCGAGCCCTCCTCTCCGAAACTTTAACATTAGACCCCAACATATTGTCCCAAGAGCTTGTGTTGATCATTATCATCCGTTCTTTTTTTATTTTTATTTATTATTTTTTTAGAGAGATTTTTACCATAGGGCATCAGAAAGTGGTCAGTCACCCCTGGGGTGGGGGTTGGGGGTGGCCATGCTCCAGTAGTCCCTCTCCTTCATTCTCCTCTTGGGATTTTGGACACATATGCACCCGCACCTAGCGTGAGTTTTAAGCCACCAGCTCTGGGACTCGAACCACAACTATGTAGGAGTCCAGCAATGTGACCATTACACCCTCTGCTAGTCCCATTCCCATCAGTTCTTTAGAGAGTTTGTCTCACAGTTCACGTGTTGAAATCAGGGAGTAAAATGTCTCCGTCCCCACTCCTCCTGTGAAGACTCTCTTGCATCCCTAGGTCTCTGAGAATGAGTAATACCCAGTGGCATGTCCTGCCATACCAAATGGGCCCGACTTGCCCTAGACATGAGCCTCATGTCTGTGAGGGGCCCCTCTGCAGGTGAGGAAGGTCAGGGCGGCTTTTCCCTCCATCCTTCCAGCACTCGCTCACCCAGACCCGTGGCAGGGTGTGTGGAAATGACTTCTACTTCCTGTGTCTCCCAGAGGCTGCTCTCTTCAGAGACAGGAACTAGGGTTTAGTCATCCTTTGTGCTTCCTGCTAGAAACCCACAGCCCTCAATAATGGCTTCCTGTCCCCTCGAACGCCCTGAGTGCCAGCATAGGCACTTGCCCGCGGCCGCTGCCCCGGGAACCTGGTGCCCAGCACACCGCCGTGCCAGGGCTCTCTGGGCGTGCTGCCAGGCAGGGAGACATTTGTCCTTGGCCTTTCCTTCCTAGTTGAGTCCTCCCTTAAATAAAGTCCAGAGTCCGAGAGGCAGATGGCCAGATGTGCTGCTCAGTAGGACAAGGAGCCCAAGGGCCGGTGCCCAGCCCCACAAAGACTGCCCTGCCCCCAGGAGACCCGCCAGGCGAGGAGTCCCAGGCTGGGCTGACCGGTGCAGCAGCTTCCCAGCATCCTCCCTCGGCTGCCTCAGGGCTTCTTCCACCCTGGGAGGCTGAGCACTGGGCACTGCTGGGGAAGGCCAACCCTCAGCGCCATTCCTTTGCTCAGACAGGGCCAGGCTCTGAGTGGTAGGACGGACTTCAGAACACAGTCTGAGGCTTTTTGTACATATTTCACAAAAGACATGCCCCCTCCCGCCCCGAACGATTGTTCCGTTTGGATATGGGACAGGAAACTGAAGTGCACGTAAGGTACTTGGTATTCTCTCTCTTTTTTTTTTCTTCCAGTTTTACTATAGGGCATATGTGCTCCCTGGAGAGAGACGAGAGAAAAAGGGAGAGGGAAAGTGAGAAATCATCCTCCAGAGGGACAGCCACACCAAAACCTTCTCCATTCTCCTCTCGGGGTTTTGAGCACACGTGCACATGCGCCCGGCTTGTTTTCAAGCCACTGGGCTCAGGGCTCAAACCACACAGTCGGCCACGTGGGATTCAGCTGCCTTAATGATCCGCCACGCCACCTGCTGGCCCTGGCTTTAATTTTAACGTGTGGGATGGAGTCACCTTGCTGTTTCTGCAGACTTGGGTGTGCTGATTCATTGGTTTCCAGGTGAGGGTAAGGTCCCTGCCATCTCACTGGCGGTAGTAAAGCTCCTCATTTCCTACCAAAATCCATGCTGTTCTCTGCTCTGGGATCTCTCCTGGGGCAGAGCCATTAGGAATGCATAAAACCTCAAGGCGTGGTTTTGGCAAAAAAGCTCGTGACTTTAAGCTAGTCATGTTGCTATTGACCTTTCCCAAAGAAAGAATATTTTCCTTGAAATAATTGGCTTGTCAGTTTTTCCTTTGTGGCTCAGAGCAGAGGCAGTAGAGCCCTGCATTAGGCAGAGAAAACTCTCGAAAAAGTTTGAGGCTATAATAAGATTCCAATTCATCTGAAAGCTTTTTTTTGAGGTTTTTTTTCTTAGGGCATGTGCGAGAGAGAGACAGGGCATGTCTTAGGGCATGAGAGAGAGAGACAGAGACAGTGAGAAAACTTCCCCCAGGGGCGATAGCCACACCTGCAATCCCTTCTCCATTCTCCTCTCGGGATCTTGGACATGCACGCACATGCGCCCGGTGAGTTTCAAGCCACTGGGTCCAGGACTTGAACTGTGGTTGACTGTGTGGGAATCCAGCAATGTAACCATGACACCATCTGCTAGTCCCCGTCTGAAAGCTTACTAAAGAGACTATGTGAAGAACTGCAGGTCTATAGGTCTGAACGTACACAATTTTATGATAAAGATTCTCAAGTCTGGTTTTGTAATCCACCAAACAGCCAGCAGTTTCAAAGGGTTTTATAATTCTTCCAGAAAATGATGTTAATTTGCTGTAAAAAATACTAAGCGATATGTGCCGTGTAGCGACTTTAATATGGGGAGGGGAAGGACAGCTCTGATTTGTACAAGAACATGGTTTTGCTTGCTGAGACAGTGGGCTACATGTGCTGGCCTCCAAGAACAGGCAGTGTAGAGGTCTGCTTCGTGACATCTGCAGCTTTGAGAGAAAAAAAAATCTGCAAAATCTGCACTGTGGGTTGATTTTTCTGGTCACTATATAAAGCAAATAAACCAAAACCACTTTGTAACCAAGTACTTACTCTGCCGAGTGCCTATATTCCAATAAAACTTTCACCCTTGAAGAGCTGTCCAGATGTCATTTATTTGCAATAGGCCTGGTTTCATCTTTTAAGCAAGTGCCATACTTGAGCTGCAAGGAGCAACCCTCAGAAACAAAAAGATGAATCACTGGTATTATGGAACTTACAGGTTTTTTTTTTTTTAAAGAGAAATTTTTGCTATAGGGTACGTGTGTGCTCTCCAGAGAGAGAGACAGAAAGCAAGAAATCACCCCCCAGGGGGGATGGTCACACTGAAATCCCTCTCCTGCAGTCTCCTCTTGGGATTTTGGGCACGCACGCACATGTGCCCTGCGTGAATTTTAAGCCACTGGGTCCAGGACTCCAACCGTGGTCAACCACGTGAGAGTCCAGCAATGTAACCATTACACCATCTGCTGGTCCCAGAACTTTCACTTTCTTGTTGTCAGGAAGGAATCTGCAGGGGCGCCGCTTCCCGTCGGGTGTAATTATGCTTTGATAATACATACACTTACTTCTCCAGGAGTTGGGGTACGTCCTTTATACAGCAATGGGCAATTACTCTTAATCCAGCTGCTGTTCAAACTTAAATTTATTTTCAGTGGGTAACAGGGAGCAAAACATTCATTCATTCTGTACTTGTACGTAAAACAGGATTTACTCAGGGACGTCCACAGTTGTTCATTTATCCATGAAGTCATTCATCCAAAAACTAACGCCCGTGTGCATTTGGGATGCAGGGACTCCAGTGGGTGCTGGGAACACAAACCCTTGATAACAGCAAACTCGAGTGCTCCGGGAAGACATGGCCAGGGAGAGCGCGGATGGATACGCGCTTCCTCACCAGCAAACACCTTGCCGGTGATCTCGGTGTTAACGCTCTCTACACCAACGCCTTCAGGCAGGAGAGGAGGAAAATGGGCGAAACCAAACCCAGCGGTGATGGGGACACTAAGAGGGGCACAAACTTTTTCTTTCAGGTTTTTGCCTTACAGTGTGTGCTCCCTGGAGAGAGACAGAGACAGTGAAAGGGAAAGTGAGAAATCACCCCCTTGGGGGAATGGCCACACTGCATTTCTTTCTCCATTTTCCTCTTGGGATTTTGGGCACGCATACGCAAGTGCCCAGCGTGACTTTCAAGCCACCAGGTCTGGGATTCAAACTGCAGTCGGTTAACCAACTCACCACCTGAACCTCCAGGATGCAAGGGTCATTCTCAGAGTGGCCCCTCTGGACCTTCTATTTACAGCCCGTAATCGGATCGGAATTGGGAGTGAGGGAGTGGGTTGAAACTAGTTTTTTCTTAGATTACGAGTTTATTGGGTGATTGGGCAGAAGTGATAAAGGCCTTGGAAGGATACATTTAAAGCTATTCTCTGTCCAGCTATGCTTGGAGCTGCCCTGGTCGAGCGTTTCTAAGCTTTCTCAGATTCTTCCCTTTGTCAAAAACGTCTGGCTCTTCCTTTCCATCCGGCCAAGTCCCACTTTTCCAGTAAGAGGACAAATCAAGAACAAAATCTCCACCCTTCCCTCTTGCTCCATGACGCTTTTGTGAACTCATCCTCATTTAGTTTCCCACTCTGGTCCTCCTCTGCCCCCTGCTGCGGTGTGGATCTTCCTCGTACCTTGGGACAGGGACCCCTGCCTTCAGTATGTGTCCCTAGTGAGCATAAGTCCTTGCCTGTGCATAGCCAGTGCTCATCACAGAGCGAATGAATGGATGAATGACTCACCCACCCTAGATGCAGGAGAGAAGTGCAGCTATAGCCGATGGATCCCTTCGCACATCACAAGGATCTGAGTAGCTGGTACCTTTATTCAACTTAAAGGAGATCATCTATTTGTTTGTTTGTTTAAAGTTGTTTTGGAGGGCTGGCAGGTGGTGTGGTGATTAAGATGCTGGACTCCCACATGGCTGACCACAGTTTGAGTCTCAGACCTGGTGGCTTGCTCTCTCACTTTCTCTTTCTCTCTTTCTCCTTCTCTCATCAAATAAAAAATAACAAATAAAAATACATAAATAAATATTTTTAAAAGTAATTTTGTATAACCCATGCGTTTTGCTTCTCTTATTTATTTTAGTTTTTTAATGGCCAGAGGGCATGTGTGTTCTCAGACAGAGACAGAAAGAGGGAGAGGGAGAAAGCACCCCCACTTGGGTAGGGTCATGGCACAATCTCACCTCCAGTTCACCATCACGTCAAGATTTGGGACACACATGCATGTTTTTTAAATCACCAGGCCTGGA